TAGCCTGAATGAAGGTGGGGTAGGCCATTTGAATGGAGGGATCTTGGAGGGGTCCTGATAGAAGGATTCTGGGAACCAGTGTGGGGCCGGTAATGATAAGAACACTTAGATGCCATCTGCGAGACTTGGGCTGCGGTGTAGGGGAGGAAAGGAGCCGCAGATAGCACCCCCTGGCATCGGGGCAGTAAATGCTTAATTAACATCTGCTAATGAATCAATTAACATCAAGACGTGGTGGGCGAGAACATGGGCGGTTGGCCCAAGAACAGGTGGGCGGGCCACGGAGATCGGCCCTGAGCAGGTCCCCTCTTACAGCCCCCACCGCCATTTTGAAGCACAGAGCTGCTGAATAGATGTGACATGGAGGCTGCTGGAGTGCGTTAATTAGCATGCTCCACCAGACTCTGTTAATCAAGTCTGCTCCAATGTGTACTAATTAGCATGCGTCGGAGCAGAAGTCTGGCATGTGTATAGGTGCGATACTCGTTTCTGGACTACTTTGCTACTAGTACAAAATGATCTTTACGCAAAGGAGTTCAGAGCAAAGGGGTTGGTAAATATCCATCCACAAATACATCAGGCATCAGCTCACTTTCCCATCATCCTGCAGTGAATCATTGGCACTCAGTATCCAGGTATCTCCACACCTAACACACTGTTCTAATCTTCAACAATGCTGCCTCCTACCATTACTTAGATCCCTAACTAATGCTAGGGAAGATCTGTTGACTATTTTATGAACACAGTTTGACACCGTTCACAATAACCAAGGAAATCATGTTATCGCCCTGTCCAGGAATCATAGACTTCCCAGAATGGTCCCAACTCTCTTTCAAATCTCAGTGGTGATAGCCCTAACATTCAGCAGAAGGAATCTCAGTGGGATATTTTCTCCCCTTCTCTACTGCTGCTGGAAGCTCATTCCTACAGGAATGTTGGGTTTTTTCTCCATAATCCACCAATAAACCTGACAAGATCAGGCACTGACCAGGAGGGTCCTTTGGTTTAAATAACAGAAGGAAGTTCTACATGCTGCAATTCCTCAAAAATAATATAGACATAAAACAGAAGGCAAAAATATTTTAACACAAGTTCCAAACATAAGTTAGGGTGATGACAGAACCTACTAAACACTGAACAGAAGATTGTAAACTACTTTACATTTATGTCATGAAGTGTACCAGGATACCACTCTTATTTTTGGCTATAGGATTTAGGTTAGGAAGATAGATACTTCAGAAGTAGCAGAGCTTTGAGCTTCATGAGCCAAAAGAACAAGTGGAATATTTGTTGCTTAATACAGCAGAACAGACTCAAGTTATTAAAACAGTTCTTTACTAATTAATTATATTTACTATGGAGAAGGTGTTGAAATATAACACAGAACGGCACAACCTATGTTATTAGACACATTACTTTTTTATATAAAGGAGCCTGACTGCAGGAAGCAGATCCTACCATTAATAAGTTATAAAGGAAAGAATTCAAGCATGTTTAACATTTACACTCCAAGCAGAGAACTGCCAAGAAGCAGAAAAACAAGTCAAGGCAGAAGACCTGTTTTAAACATAGGATGACAGGTCTCTTGATCTTCACTTACATACTCTCTCCTTTTTAGCAATGGAAAATGAGATACAACTTGTGATTCTAAACATCCACCAATACTGTAACACCAAGTTTTCTACATTATTAGTATAGTAATCTTCCACTGGGTAGAGAAGCTCTGCCAGCTAGATAGGAAGTGGAGGTGAAAGTAAACTGAAAAAATAGCATGTTGGGCAAGGTCCAAGATTTCTACGCAAGTGAAACCCACCTGACCTGCAGGTACAAATAAGAGATTGTCTGAGAATGGAAGCCTGGGAACTGGTTAAAGAAATGGAAGGGCATTTAAAAAAGCCTCTGCTGATCCAGCTACATGGTGAGAGACTGTTTATTTAGGTGACTTGTCCTTGGTGCTTTCTCATGTCCTGGGGCTTGACCTTTGGGAAATTCACAGTTTTGGGAGCCCCATCAGGCTGGCCAAAAGTTCTGTGGAGACTGGTTGGGTTGGTATCTAGATGACAGATGCATTTAGAGCTTCAATGCTGTCATGTACTCTAAACCAATGCCATTCGGTACATGTCTGGTTGCTCCCATGGGTATAATTCCATGGTAGGCAAGATTCCCACCTTTGCTGGCATTGCTAAGAGATAGCCAAACAATGCTAGTGGCCTTATTTGTTTGAACTGGGTATTTGTCCTCCTGGGTATTCAGTTTAGTATGCACCTAGGGAAGCTCTTGAGAAGAAGTGATGGTAATTTTCCCTCTCAGTTTAAGACATGGACTACCCAAAAGAAGGCACATTTGCTCAAGAACATCCACTTTGGCTGACCTTGAACCAAAATTCAAATGTAAAGTGTGTGGCGGTATACAGATTGTTTCATTTCTCCCCTAGAATTCTGGTACAGCTGGAGATCTCATTGAACCTGGCACTAGAATAGTTAAGATTTATTTTTCTTAGTGACTACATCTTCTATGTCAATAACCATTTCCAACACCAACTGGAAAAGCTTTTCCAAGAGGCAGCAACATGAACAGTATGATAGCAGGATCAGCAATTCCTCAATTAGCATCAGTCATGGGGTAATGTATACAAGCCTATTCAGGTGTGTCATAAGGAAAATTCTTGTACAGTACTACATTTATTCAAGAGGAAAAGATTTCTTAACATGATACCTTTTACTGGACCAACTGTGTAGTTGGAATAGAATTTGAATGCAAAACATTCTTCATCAGGTCTGATTAGAACAAGTCAGGCTTAGCATAGTGAAATTAAGTTTTATGTTTATGTTTTACATAATATGTTTATGGACAGTCATCTGAATTTGCCCCATAAGAATAAAGTAATACAGCGTTAGAGTCCTGTGATCAAAATTTGCGTGAGTTTTGGCAGCGCTTAATTAAAAAGCAATAAAAACAGCCAGTATACTCCCTTTACAGTACTATTCATAGGCACAGAAGTGGTGTTTCTGAGAAAGGACTAAGCTACTATCACTAGAGGCATTTACATCTGTAGTTCTATACAGACAAACACATCTGGGGAAAAAAATCCCAGTAAGTACAAAACACAACAGCCTATTTGCTGAGCAACATACAAATTTCTATGAATGTGCTGCATCTTGCTAATCTGTTTGCAGTGCTGCTTCCCCAAAATACAAAGCTCAGGACAAGGTATCCTTCCTACCACTCAAAACCTTCCAATCTCTCATGGGACGGTCAGTACCAGAGAAATTATCCTCTTCCATGCAGCAACTGTGTACTAGAACAGCAGTGGAAAAAACATCAGTCTACAGGGGCCAGTTTGCAGATGCGAGAGAGAAAACTTTTTGAGGAGCTGCATTTTGGCTACAGAACTCACTCCCACAAGAGGTAAGATTCCTTGTGGACCCAGCTCCTCTCAAAGCCAAATGCAGGACTCTCTTCTTTGCCTCAACTTTGCTTAGTGAAATTTTTCAGGGGCATTGCACATCCCTGAAACAAGAAAGCCAGAGATTCCTACACAGGAAAAATTGCTTGATTAGATATAAACTGGGAAGCAATGACGGGCATGATTACTATCTTTTATTTTTAGACAACTGGGAGGAGTTCAGACAGCATATGGATGGGAGGGTGGAGTGGCAGGAGGAGGAAAAGAAGGCCGAACTGGCTCATCAAGCATTATATAAATAATCTGATAGCTCAAGATGTGGGGACGTAATTTACTGAAATGTATGCTACATCTAGCCTGAACATGATGTTCCCTCTTACAGCAATACCCTTTGTACTTTCTGATTTGGAAAACATACTTCACAAGGGGAGGGCAAAGTATTCATACTCCAAATAGATGTCATTTATCATCTGACATAAATGCTGTCAAACATAAGATTATTTGATGCTGGGAGCTGATCTAACCTCAGCAAATCTCTAGAATTTTGCAAGCGCTACACAATGTGTTCCTAACACGCCACAAAACCACCATGACACTACCCAACCTGTGATTTATCTCATGTCAAACTGCCATTGAACAAGCCTTTTTAAAAGCCTGTTTATAGGATGGTACGTCAAGAGACGAGGATCCCTGCCAAGACCCTCCTCCTTGACAACTTTGCCAACGCAGAAAAAGAGATTCTTATTATGAAGAGAGCACATAGTTAACTAAATTGTGTTACACAAGTCGGCATACACAAAATACATGGTTAGAGAGGCTGCAGTTTAAGAAAAGATATGGGGCTTGGTGCAGAGTGCCATCATCTGGCCTGCATTGTGTAGGTCAGACTAAATATCCCTTACCAGAAGGAAGCAGATCATGCTCTGAAGGGGAGCAAATGGAAGAAAAAAAAACATTGTGATGCAGCCAGAGGGAAAGAAGGATTGTAGGAAGATCCTCCTTGTGCTCCTTGCAGCTGTGATGCTCTTTGTGAAAGATGTGCTCAAGCAGGAAGCCTCTGAAGGCCTAGGACAAGAGGTGAGGTGCAAGCACACTTCATGTTGCCCACAACGAAGAGCTTCAGACTTTGGGCAATAAAATACAGAGACACCTAAAGGCTGCTTCCAGCCATGTAGCTTCCCATATGGCTCTGTGGATTCACTCATGGTTCTGCAAACCCTGTTGACCAGCAAGACATGCAGGCATTCTGGCTACTTAAAAGCCTGTTTCAGCATTAGCTCTCTTTGGCCTCCGCATATGTTTGCTGGGCAGATGACCACACGGCCCTGTTTAAAAAAAGCCAACTTTTAAGAGTGAAGGGTGTCAGAGTTACAGATTCTCACTTGAAGTCTCAGTACAGCAGCAAAGTGCCATACACTGCTAGGAGAGTGAGTAAGGGCTGGAGCTTAGTGTGGCCTCAGCAACCTGTTAGCTGGCCCAACTTTCAGATCCCAGATCCCTTCAGTCGAGCGGGCAATTAGAAACAAAATCAACTTTTTATTTGTTAAGAAATATTTAACACATAAAGAAACAAAATATGGAACCCTACTTTTTTTTGTTTGCAAAGTCACTTTCCAGAGCGGTTTTTTCCACCAGGGATTTTGCTCGGCTTTCTTTTGCTTTGGGTAGGGAGAGAATCCAATTTTATTTTCCAGGAAACAATTCCAGTTATTGAACTAAAAGCTTTTCACTTATACTCTGAAAAAGAATCACTAAAAACCAACTGAACACTCAGGCATCTTTGCTTCTCATGACTCAGACAGAAGTCACTGATGTTAATTACAGTCTGAGCTAGTCTAAAAAACCAGGACCTTCTACAGTTATTGACTCCTAATCTTTCTGTAGTTTTCAGCAACTAGCGTATGCAAAACCTTACAATCTGATTTGCTAATACCCTCATGACTCAACAGCCATATGTCCACAGATAGAGACATGGCTTCAACTGTTCTTTAATTGCAGCTTTTCTGTCAGGCAAAAAAAAAAGACGACTTAAAATGTTCTGAGACATTATTTGGGTTAATATAATAAAGTAATTTAAATATTTTTTCTGGTAACTTAGCAATAGCCTCATCTGAGTTAATTTACAGGACACAAATGCAGAGTGCTGCTTTATTTTTTATAAAAGGCAATTAATTTATGTTAATTGGAATTATGGGATGCACTGATAGAAGACCAGATCTGTCCCTTCATTCCTCACGCATCTTTCTGCCTTTTTTTTCTTTAGAAAGGCTAGTCTTTCTCCTAAGAATGTCGGTATCATCAAGCTGTATCTGAGCAATTTTAAACCAAAGTCAGAAAATAATTGTCAAGGAGACTGGGGTTTAAAAGCTGGATGAAATTTACTGAGAAGTATTGCCCAACATGGTGTTAAAAACATTGGGAAATAGTAAAGTGTACTTCTTAATAGTCTCTCTACCATCTACCTTAATGACAGACATTATTATTTCTAGCACTACTTTTCTTGTAAATGAACTTTCTAAAGGGTTTCACTAGCTTTACAACAGTAGCATGGTTATTAGGCTCTCAAAAGCCCTTACAAATGAGAGTGTACAGTAGTCCTCAAGCAGTGTACAAGATCCAGCAGCCTGTTTAATGAGGCCAGTTGCATCTCGGCCTCTGGAAAGGTTAGTCTCGCTGCTTGTGGAGGTCTGTGGTTTTTATCCTGGGATGAAGCGAGGGGATCTTCAAAGTTTTGATTCCCTGATATTCCGCAGAACACCTGCTGCTTATGAGAGGCAGCCATTGACTTGATGGGCACCAGCTGCTAAAGACAAAAATGCAGAAGGTAAATTGCTACTTTAGAATTGCTTCCTTAATAGAAAGCAACTTCATTTGGATGGGAAAGGCGCATGCCAAGGAACCACAACAGGCCTGGTTTTCTCTGAAAGCGGAAGCAGACCAAATTCTCTTCACATCATCCACTCCACTCATCCCAACCACCGGATTCCTTCATACTTGCTACAAAAAAGTGAAGTGAAGCAAAAAGACATTAGTTAAAGCCACCAGGCTTTACCTGAAATGGCTCTCTCCTTATTCAGTGACCAGAAGCTGCCTAAAAAAAACACTGCTCTGCTCCTTACTATGCACATGATGGAGAATTCCTCCCTTTCCCAGCATTTCCTGGGACAGCCCATTCTATGCAGCTCTTATGCTCAGTCCTTCAGCACCCATCCGACTGTTATTTGTTAGTTGCCCATTCAGTCTTCAACATCCTCATCCAGTTGGCCCTTAACACCATCTGTCCTTGCTTTAGGAATTAGTCTCTTTTCAATCTGCTTGCTCCACCAAGAGTCTGTAGTCCTTGCTGCCACAATCCTTTTCAGTTGCAAGTCCACATGTTGAGTATCCCTCCTAAGCAGTATGGTCACCAGCTTCCCATTAACACCTTTGGTCTGGAAATCAAATAAGGGCTGCTCCATGATCCTTCTGTCTATGGTTTTCAAGAAAAATAAATAAATCTCTTGTGCAATTTCAAAATTAAGGTATGTTCTTGGACAAGACTTCCAGGGAGACCTCACCATCTGATAAAGACTAGGACACTGGTCCTTCTGTTGACAGAAAGCCTGCCCTGTGAAATAAGCTTTTTGTTCCTCACACCCCAGGAATGGATCACCAGTTGGACTGAAACACTAAACCAGATATTTCATGTTTGAGAATTGTACCCCTTGTATAGTGTTTGGTTTTACAGAGCGTGCATATTGGTCTCTGATTCTGAATTTCTTTATGAGCTCAGTCAAGCAGGCCAGGCACTGTCAAGGTAAGTTATTCTTTTACATTACAATGAAAGTCTCCAATACGATCTCAAGAAAAAAAAAACAGAATTCGATTCATCGTCAACCTTTTCATAAAAGCTGGATGAGTTCATATTGTTCCACAAAGCCTTAAGTAAAAATAAAAAGTCAGTTGAAAATTTCTTTCCTTTATTTAAAAAGGCAAGGGTGCCCTTTTTACCATTTAAATGGAAAAATGTATGTGTTTCAATATTTTGAAAAAGGTCAAATTCAATAAACGATGTATTTAAAAAGAAGATGGAGTTCCCAAGATAATGTTAATGAAAAGTAAAACTCAGGAGATGTTGAAGTAGATAGTCTACCATTGCTCAGTTTATCCAAACACTTTTAGTATTTTTCTGGCTACCACCAAACACAGCAAGACACCGCTGCTATCACACTTATTCATTTATGAGGAGTGACTTCAGCAAATGAATAGTGGATACTAAGAACCTCACTGGGTCTGCCAAACTATAAACAAAAATACATTAAAAAATTCATCTGCAAATAGATAAAAACAAGGCCTTTAAGTTCTTTATCAAAGAGGAGCTGTGAGAATTGAAACAAAAAAAAAACAAGTTTGCAAAGTTGCACCTCAGTTGATATCTGCCAGCAAAGAAAATATCAAAGGCACAGCAAGTGAAGAGAAAGGCACAGGAGAAACAATTACTACAATACAATACAAACCAGGGACATTCAGTATGACACAGTTCTGCCAGCTGGGGGTGGAAAAACCACAAGAACATTCTCCTGATTGGCAATCTGGCTACTGCCAACCTATTGTGAGTTTCAACAGTGCAAAAGCAAGTTTAGCTCCAAAATCAAATATAAGGTAGAGCTGAAAGACATTTCACCAGTTCAGGTGAAATGTCTGTCATCCACACCAGCTCAACTGAAATGGACACCCCCCCACTCAAGTATAAGGTAAAAAGAGAAGGGTCTCTTTATACCCTCCCTAGACAGAGCTCAGTGGAAAGCCCATGTGCAGCACACTGCTAGCAACAAACATTTTAAAAACTTATCTGATGAAATGGAGGAGGAAAACATGCTGAAAAAAAAGCTGCTTGCAAACTCTGGAGCCCCCTTCCCACTTTGCTTGCCAACACAGTGTCCTATCTCAGTCAAATCAAACATTTTAAATAGCACCCCTGGGATATTAAGTCCTACCTACTTCTCATTTTGTGGAAAGAATACATGTCTACATGAGGGGGATGCCGCCTTGTCACCTGAGTCAATGCTCAAGAACTTTACAGGAAACAGGATTATGCTTTTTAAAAAACCTAAGGTAAACATAATTACACTTAAAGAAAACACACACACCTCTTGCACAGAGTGTGATTCTTCGTCAATGGAAGGCAGATGATGTTAAGAGCCTTATTAAAAACCCACCCCTTCATTCCATGCATGTTCTCCAGAACAAACTGCCAGCCTGAGAAATCTAGTCTTACTATGGCACTAGTCTACTAGCTGTAGCAATGCCATAACGTACCATTTTCATACCATAAAAAATAGACATTCCAGTGCTGGGTATAAACACATTTTGATTGCAATATCTTAACAAGGATGCAGTCAAAATCATATGGCCTTAAATGGGAAATTAATAATTACAGATGTAGTGATACATCCATATGAAGAAAGGGCAAAGGGGCATATCAGCATCAGTCTGCTGCAAGATTTAAAGCTGTGAATTTAGGTTAAAAATATCAGTTGATTATTCCGATTGACCGGTCTTTTAATCTGAAAATAAAGCAGCAAGAATTAAAAGGCAACAAACTGAAAACTGACAAAAGAAAATCCACAATTTAATTTCACAAAACAGAAGAAATGCCCTTCCATAACAGTTTGATGCAAAGCACTTTAAAAGATTTTAAACAGTTATCTGAATAATAAGTACATCACCTATGGCCATACTTGCTACAACTAGGATAGGGAAAGGTTCAGTAAGGGTAACCTACTGGCATTCTACTGTCTGTATCCCACTGAAATATCTAGTCCTGAACCCAGGTTGAAAATAGGATATGTGAGCTAGGCAGACCCTTATGCTGACCAGATATGGAAGCCTCTCAACCCAGCAGGAGGAGGACCAGCACTACCAAACTATAAGCTGTCCTTGCTTAATTCCAGGGCATTCTCAAGTACCAGACCAGGATAGCAGACAGCCAAGCCATGCATCAATAATGCTCCAAAGGGTTCTCCCTGAGAGTGGCATCCAAATCATGAGTGGTTCGCTAATGATTTAACCATCTACAGCTCACCGGAGAAAAGATCTATGTGGCTGTATGTATCATGCAGGGATTTAGATGTTTGGGTATTTTATCTGCACCCTTATTGGAGCTCACTTAAAAAAAAAAAGATAATGTCATTACAAAACGAAGCTTATTCCTGTCGGAGATGTTTCTTCTCGGATAAAGTGGCCTTGTATAGTTGGATAAAGGAATTTAATTTCATTAAGAGGCAGTAATTCTGGGCAATATCTTTTATTGGGCCAACTTTATAGTTAGGAGAGATGATGCTATCAAGCATCAAATGCCCTTCCTCAGATCTGAAAAAGAAGCAGACAGGCTAAGTAAATAGCAGGGAAAAAGGTCTGTGTAAATGCAAACAGTGTGCTTGGAGGAACGGAGGGGGCTGTGAACTGAGAGCAAAGGGATATTACCATAAGCACTTATAAGACAAAAGAATAGTAGAATAGGTAATCTAGTTAGTTAGTTAGTGGAAAAGCAAGACCATTCAAAAAAGGATGAAGGTTGTTACCTGCAGGGGGCAAGAGACTAACAGAGGTGTTTATTAAATGGTAATGAGCCATAAAGCCACTATCTGTGTTAAGTCTAGATTTCTTACTGTCCAGTAGGGCTCTGAATTTCTGTTCCCAGGCCTGGCTTTTGAAGACATTCTCTAAATTCACTTTGAGCACAAGGATTGTGAGGTCAAAATGGGAGTGGATGTTCTGTGAAAAGGATGTTTCTACTAGTGTCTCCGTTTTTTATATTTTTCTTGTGAGAATTCATTTTGATGTGTAGTTTCTGTCTAGTTTCACCCACACAGTTTCCATAAGGGCACCCAATACACTGGATGAAATGTGTACCACAATGTAATGTGTGTAACAGCCATGGATTCTGATGGTTTCATTGTGGAGGCTGTTGAGACTTTGGACAAGTGTTGACAGGTTTTGCATTTAATCTAATCTAAAGTCAATATGTTTAATATAAAATGTATGTATGAAGACTGCAAACCACTGAAATAAGCATCCATCTACTGCAACCATAACACTGAATGCCTCTTATTAACCTAATTGCACAGTATGTTTTATTAAACAGATATTACCATTTTCTCCACTTGTCAGAGAGCTGCTTGGAACTAATAAAATATGACAGACCTCAGAGACTATAAATTGTGATTTCCACAGCTTTTACTTATAGAAATGCAAACTGCTCTGCCAGGCCTTGAGTTCATAAGCATGGCAATAAGGGACATTGACACAATATCGATAGTGTGTCAGCTGGAACGAGTTTAAAATAAAATGCTGCGAATGGGAACAGCTGATGCGTTATCCTCAGTGGACTCGAATCAGCAAAGAACCTTTCCTACTGCTCAGTCACAAGTGTCCTCAAATCCAGGTATACTTTTCTATGGCAAATGAATAACATTAGATTTACTCAGACATCAGTATTTTAAACTTTGAGGGGTAAAACAAGAAAAAAATTATTAACCTAGCATGGGCTTCCAAGTCAGGCAGTGCTCTCCCCTACCTTGGAGATCTTTAAGAAGAGACTGGAACTTGACTGGGGTCAGTCTCAATGATCTACTCATCTGCCCCCAGCTCTTTTTCCTGCCCAGGGCAGGGGGTCCCTTCTGACCCTGAAAATGTATGTATGAAAAAGAAGTACAGTGCTGCAGCTCCACTTCTTCTCCCCTGTCAGTGGTTATTTCTTTTAAAGTATGGATTGCAAGACACTGGGTGCAGACTGGTATCTGAGGTTGAAAATATCAAGTG